TGGGTGCTTTCAAGATGGAACGTTTGGTGAGCACAACCCGCAGGAGGTTCGCCTTTACAGCTCGGGGAAGAAGGTAAAGGATGAAGCAGTTTGATTAATTTAGTAATTGTAATTTATGAACGGAAACACTCATATGAAGGAATCGTCTAAGATGCGAAGCTGATTCGGGAGAAGCATGCGCAAAACTACCTGGTCATGATAAGCGCAAGGGACCACCCAAAACCAACAAATTCTGCCCATTGAAACTCTAATTTAAGAAAAACATCGCCATGTTACTGTACTTGTTCGGAGCAAAAAGATTCAAAAACAACTGCCATTTTAGGAAAGAATACCTTTGATATGTACGACGAACAACGCCGGGTTCCGCCGAAGGAGCCATCTGCCTATCAAACAGAAATCGTATAACGGCATCCAAAGGCAAACCAATTAGCGGGAAACGGTAGGTGTACAACAGCAGCGCAACGGCCCAACGAGGATATCGAAACTCTGAAACAGCTCGTAAAACCCTTTGCGCAGGATTTCAAAAAATGACGAAGCCATAACCAAACAAAGCTCACCTTGTGTTTCAGGCCTCACATTGGACGTGGAAGGTGTGTCATTAGGAGTAACATCGCGATGCCTCACATTTGATGAAAAAGTCACTGGTTGCGAAGTAGACGGGGCCTTGAACAAGAGCAACGACAATGACACAACTTTTGACAAACTTGCTAGATTTGCATTACCTGTCTAGCGTATGGTGTATTACTGATATGGCAATGAACTACAGAACCGTCACGGAGACCGTACGAGGCTAATGTTCTCGAATCTTCTCGAAGAAGCTGACCTGAGCATGGATCACTTTTTTGCAGAGTTATTATTTCGAACAGCGCAGAAAAAAAGAAATGAAATGAAAAAAATGTTTGAGAAGAACAATGGTTAACAATAAAGTCACAATAACATTAATGACATTATGAAAGAAGGATAAAAACAGACCTTGATAGATTAGCCTAACGACTCGGCCTGCAGCGACAGCATCCCCAAAATGAACACTAAACCTTCATTATTTTTGCTGTTCCATTTTTGATCAGAGAGACATTTAACTTAAGCTCATAATATTAGCAGTTTTACATGCTCTCAGCGGTTTAAAACTACCGTAGAAGTTACAGATAATTCTCGCACTGTGATAAAAATATTCGAAATAACCGCCCTCAACACACTTCAAATATCGTGATAATGATTCGCTATTCGTATGGTAGTGCGGGCATTCTCTGGCGTATCATCGAGAATTTTCGGCGAGATGATCGCTACTGAATTCGCTGCGCTTCACTAGTGGTATACCGTTCGTCGGCCTGATCGATCATGATGTAACTGCTTATCGTATACATAGCGACTGAGTCAACATATAAGAGTGAGAATGAATGAAGCCATCCATTAACTGATCGAAGGTCTGCGTCGTATGATAACGTAAGAATTCCTTCCCAACCAATGTGTGATGATTGTTTAGTTGGGTCTCTTTCTGATGCTGGGGTAGCAGAGAATGGTGCAGTTTACTCGAATTTAAAATGGTCGAAAACGTTATGAGCTTTCTATGCCTATTGTCTGTGCGTGGTGTGATCCCACGAAACCTTTGCGCCTGGATATAATGAATTAGTGAAGGAAAAAAAACGAAACACGAACTGAGAAAAGTTGTGAAACGAACTCGACTGCCATCTAGTTCATCATTGACGACGCTGATATATTCATTGGCATCACGATATTCGTATATTCATGTGAACGTCGTATAATGTATGAGACCGTTGCATTCTCACGCGACCGTTGAACGCTCAAACATGCCAGAATAGCTTATATACAAGGAACAACGATTCCAGGACGTTCCGAAGATGACGCTTGAAACCTTGCAAAATAAATCTCTTTTTGCTTCAATGTTCAGAGTAGCTTTTACAAGAAAAGACATCAGAGCACTATACGACCCCACATGGAACAAAAGACAGAACTTATGGGTGAGTACGTCGAATAATGATTTGAGTGCGAAGATCGATCTAATATCTAGCGGAGCCTTGAGCTAGAGGTAAAAAACGAGCTCACATTGCCAGGGTGAATCACGCGATTAAATTGTAACTAGGCGTGCGAAGGGCTCTTCAAACATCAACAATCAAATTATCATTACAACATGACAGCTGGCAAGACACTGTAATCAACAAGTGAGACTGAAAGCCCACCCTCGTCCTAACACTGCGATGGCCGCAGCAGCGGCAAAATGACTCTCATGCGATGCGTCACTTCCTCCACTTCCGGAAGCCGGCATTTCGATTTCCCAAAGCGTGGACGAAGAAGGTGGAGGAATGCTGAAACTCCAACAATCATATCATGTCACACAATCGGGACATTACTTCGTCCACGCTTTGGTATCTAATGCTCAATGACCTATACTACGCCTAACCGGCAAAAAGGGTACCTTGCAGTTGAGTCATCCATTACCGTGGCAGGTGACTGTATAACAACATTGGTGTCAAATGCGACGGGTGCTTCAGTTGATGCATCACTAGCGTTTGCTTGAACTTGCGAGCGTGCCCGTGACCGCATGCGTGCCATTACATCACTCCACGATCCGAGTGGACGGAACTCTTGACCCAACTGTAGTACCTAGAACAAATTGGGTAAAAAAGAAAACAGGAATCATAAAGGCGAATGACATTCCTGAATGAAACAATATGTATGTGATAAAAGAATAGCTCCATCGTGAACGAAATTCAATAAAAAATTCGATTTTTTTATATCTCCAATTCCTTTCAATTAAGTGCTTCACATGAAAGGCGTGAAGTTCCGCGTGATAAAGCCTGACATCTCGAGGAAACCAGCAAAATTAATTCTTTTACACATCACATAATGTATCCAAAATCTCGTTCAAGCCATGAACATGAGAAGGTTGATAGATTACTATTCTCTAGAAAAGGTTGACGAAGTTGTTTAAAAAGTGCAAACAAGAATAGGTTTCACGCTATTCTAGTTTTTATTATTATATTGTTAT